GCATGTATCTTTCCCACTGATGTCAGCTTTGTTAACTTCTCATAGATCGGCTATTGTGCAAGGAAGATCGCGTCCACAAGCACTGAGAGGCGATTGCTGTTAAATAATGATTGTTCCTGTAAATCCAGGGATCAATGATCATCCGTAACTTGAAACCGAAGGATTCAAGAACCACTTGGAAGTGGTTAGAAAAATTTACTATACAAATAATGCTCATGCTCATAGTTTGTCGTCCAAGTGTATCCGCGGCATAAGTTACACGAAGAGGTTGAAAAGTACGGGTTTAAACTTTAAACCTGTCAATTTTGCTTTCAGAGAGTCACAATCAGCGATTTAATGATTCGTGAGCTCTGAATGCGGAATAGAGTTCTCCAGATGCACGCTAATTCCGCAGGAATCCTTTTAAAGCAGTGATATCGTGGGATACCTTTCTAGTTATTCTTAATTTTCTTCCTCGGTGCCCCATTTCACCTGAAATTGCTACTTCGTGTATGCTGCAGTGCAACCAACGTGGAGTAACAATGGAATGTTGCACGTGTCGTAGAAGCTGATATTTGTGCACTTAAAGTTTCGAAGTGGGCCCGAGAATAAGGATGTCACAGCGATTCACCTTAACTTAAGTGTTCATGATATTGCGCTTGGATATCTCTATTGATCAGGGTTGCAAAAAATGTTTTTCGGAATTATAAAATCATTGTTATTATGATGTTTTGTGCTTGTAAGGTTGTAAAGTATGTGTTTGACTCATAAAACCTGTCAATTTCGCATTCAGAGCGTCATAATCAGTGATCTTATGATTCGCGAGCATTCACTCAGAGTGAGCGCTCTCGAATAGTTCAATCGCTGATTGTGACGCACTCAAAGCCAGTGATGGGCAACTGAACCAACCGGTGCGCACCGTGTACTGGTTCGTGTTCAAAAAATACTCCTGTGTTTATGTAAGCGTGTACCCTGGTTCGGTTGAGTTTTAGTGTACCAGTGTGTTCTAAATCAAAACCGTGTGCCGGTTTTCGAGTTGATGTTCAGAACCGCAGCTTGAAAACCGAAAACCGGTGTGCTAGAATTTTGGTTTTGGTACACGAGATATAAACCGTGTGCAGGGTTCAATTATATGTTACCAAAACCGGGTATACCGTTCTTGGTTCGGAACATTGGCAAGAATTAAATAGCAGTGCTCCCAAAAAGGTGGGTAAAATATTTGTACCAAGCGACAGTTATTAATTCAATTGCCAAATATTTTGATAGACAATATTGGTAGCGAAGGAACTAGAAATCATTTTGAAGTCTGACAAATAGCCTTCGATATGGGTATTTTTGGAGTCCGCGTGACGCCTATAGTCTGGAAATCGATAACCGATACCTTCTTGAAATCCAGAAGGCGGCATCCTGTTGCAGATAAACTGAGAAATCCTATCAAATACCCTTCGATATGGGTATTTCTGGAATCGGGGTGACGTAAAAATACCGGAAATCAATGTCTGTCCAAGATGGCGGCTTACGGTTGTAGGAAAACTGGAAAATACTAGCAAATACGCTTCAATATGGGTATTTTCGGAATGGGGACGACCAATTTAGATCGGATATCAATGTCAGACACCATCTTGAAATCCAATATGGCAACTTCCGGTTATAGGAAAACTGAGAAATAGTAGCAAATACCCTTCAATATGGGTATTTTTGGAATCAGGATGAGGTTTATAGACCGGATATCAATGTCAGACACCATCTTGAAATCCAAGATGGCGGCTTCCGGTTATAGAAATACTGGGAAATAATGTCAAATATCTTTCAATTTGGGTATTTTTGGAATCGGGGTGATGTCTAGAGAGTGGAAATCAATGTCAGACGCCATTTTGAAATCCAATATGGTGGCTTCCGGTTTTAGAAAAACTGGGAAATAATGCCAAATATCCTTCACTATGCACAGCAAAAAAAAATGTAATATCGATCAACGTAATTCAAGCTGATGTATGAAATAATGATGTAATAGCAAAAAGTAGATACAATATTACATCAATGGATGTAATTTTGTTCGCAAAATCGATGTACATCGTACAATGTGATATTACACAACCGATGGATTGACCTGGTTGCATCAGTTTCGATGTAATATTCAACAACTTTTTTTGCTGTGTGGGTATTTTTGGAATCAGGATGACGTATACATACCCGAAATCAATGTCTGACGGCATCTTGAAATCCAAGATGGCGGCTTCCGGTTATAGAAAAACTGGAAAATAATGTCAAATATCCTTCAATATAGGAATTTTTGGAATCACGATGACGTATAAAGACCGGAAATCAATGTCTGACGCCATTTTGAAATCCAATATGGCAGCTTCCGGTTGTAGAAAAACTGGGAAATAATGTCAAATATCCTTCAATATGGGTAGTTTTGGTATCGAGATGACGTATAAAGACCGAAAATCAATGTCTGACGCCATCTTGAAATCCAATATGGTGGCTTCCGGTTATATAAAAACTGGGAAATAATGTCAAATATCCTTCAATATAGGTATTTTTGGAATCGGGATGACGCATAGAGACTGGAAATCAATGTCTGACGCCATCTTGAAATCCAAGATGGTGGCTTCTGGTTGTAGAAAAACTGGGAAATACTAGCAAATACCCTTCAATATGGGTATTTTTGGAATCGTGATGACGTATAAAGACCGGAAATCATTGTCTGACACCATCTTGAAATTCAAGATGGCGGTTTCCGGTTGTAGTAAAACTGGGAAATACTAGCAAATTCCCTTCAATATGGGTCAAATACCCTACAATTTAGGTATTTTCGGAACCAAGAAGACGTGTAGATGCCGAAAATGAATGTCCGTTGCCGTTTTGGAATCTAATATGGTGGCCATTGGGTTAAAAAAAGTGGCAAAAACCCTACAATATTTGTATTTTTGAAATAGAGACGACGTGTAGATGCCGAAAATTGATGTCCGAAGCCATTATGGAATCCCCGATGCCGACCATATCGTATAATATTTTACACTTTTTCTAAAACAGGTGGTCACCATCTTGCATTCAAAAATGGCGTTGTACATCGATATTCGGTCCAGTTCCCAGTTTTAATCTAACCAGAAGCCGCCATCTTGGGTTTAAAAATGGCGTCAGACATTGATTTCCGGTCTCAAGACGTCATCCTGATTCCAAAAATACCCATATTGAAGGATATTTGGCATTATTTCCCAGATTTTCTATAACCGGAAGCCGCCATCTTGGATTTCAAAATGGCGTCAGACATTGATTTCCGGTATATATACGTTATCCTGATTCCAAAAATACCTATATTGGAGGATATTTGGCATTATTTCCCAGTTTTTATCCAACCAGAAGCCACCATCTTGGATTTTAAAATGGAGTCAGACCTTGATTTCCGGTATTTATACGTCATCCAGATTCCAAAAATACCCATATTGAAGGATATTTGGCATTATTTCCCAGTTTTTCTATAAAGGGAAGCCGCCATCTTGGACTTAAAAATGGCGTCAGACATTGATTTCCGGTATATATACGTTATACTAATTCCAAAAATACCCATACTGAAGGATATTTGGCATTATTTCCCAGTTTTTATCTAGCCAGAAGCCACCATCTTGGATTTAAAAATGGCGTCAGACATTGATTTCCGGTATATATGCGTCATCCTGATTCCAAAAATACCCATATTGATTTATATTTGGCATTATTTCCCAGCTTTTAATGTTTTTATATAACCGGAAGCCGCCATCTTGGATTTCAAAATGGCGTCAGACATTGATTTCCGGTATTTATACGTCATCCGGATTTCAAAAATACCCATATTGAAGGATATTTGGCATTATTTCCCAGTTTTAATCTAAATAGAAGCCGCCATCTTGGATTTCAAAATGGCGTCAGACATTGATTTCCGGTCTCAAGACGTCATCCTGATTCCAAAAATAGACATATTGGAGGATATTTGGCTTTATATCCCAGCTTTCCTACAACCGGAAGCCGCCATCTTGGATTTCAAAATGGCGTCAGACATTGATTTCCGGTTTCAAGACGTCATCCTGATTCCAAAAATAGACATATTGGAGGATATTTGGCTTTATATCCCAGCTTTCCTACAACCGGAAGCCGGTATTTATACACACTTAGATTTTTTCGCCGAGATGGGCACCACCGAGCAGCTCGGCATTTTATTTTGCTGGATCTCAGTGACAAACTTGCCAAGATTCAGCTAACAAACGAGAATTTTGCCGAGATCTCAGCTAACAAACATATATTTTGCTGAATTTCCAGCAAAATAAAATGCCGAGCTGCTCGGTGGTGCCCATCTCGGCAAAAAAATCTAAGTGTGTACGTCATCCGGATTTCAAAAATACCCATATTGAATGATTTCCCAGTTTTAATATAACCGGAAGCCGCCATCTTGGATTTCAAAATGGCGGCAGACATGTTTTATGTATCAAATACATTCTTCGCGACACCTTCTTGTAAGTACATGTATTAATTATCACTATAACATCTAATGTTTTCATAATTCGCAAAAACATTTTTTTTCATAGCAAGTGAGTGGAAGTAACCCTACTCGGGAGTGGTAAAATTTCTGATTGTGACATCTGAACGCATCCGAATGAACGCTCACGAATCATAAAATCGCTGATTGTGACATTCTGAAAGCGAAATTGACTGGTTGTATGTGTCAAACACATACTTTACAACCTCTACCTGCGAACTACAAGTATGTATAACATCAAGTGATTTCATAATTTTGAAAAACATTTTTTTATAGCAAGTGAGTGGAAGCAACCCTGACTGTGTGAACTCAAAGTCCACTTTCGACTGATCCAGAAGTGGTTACTTGGTTGGAGACGAGTGAATCCCCGAAATAGGCGATTGAAGTCAAATTGCATGAGGTCAGAAATTCGCCAACATAGTGCATAGTCGGACTATTCTATTCCCTAAAGATTCCCATTACTGATGTGATAATTCTACAGACCCAGTCAGAAGAAAAAAACCATTCCTTACTAATTCCTATCCTTATTTGTAATTTATTCAAGCAACAAGGTGAACAGATAAATGATAGCAATTATAGTAAAAATAAATTCTGCATTAGTGCTTACCGGAAAAGATGAGGACCGTTACATTATGCTACGCGATTACGGGTTACGATAAATAAATTGATAGTAAGTATGTGTGATCTTTGTCTGACTAATTCCCTGGCATGAGTGTGTTAACAGTTCTGCCTACGTTGTTGAGTATCGTGGGAATCCGAAATTGCAATTTCGACCTACGCGCGCAATCTTATCGAAATTTTACAACCAATACAAACCTTCGCGTGAAGGCAGCAGCTATTGCCATGTATGTGTGTGTGTGGGTGGTGTTAGCGAAAGTAGGAAGGACATGCGTTTTAGGCTGGTCTTACAGATTTCCCACCAGCACGTTCCTAGTTCCGGAGGCAGCCGATTTGTCGTCGGCATTTTCCTTATCGCTGTTGGCGGCCGGTGTCGTATCCTGTCCACGGATCTTGATGTTGTGCTCGTCCTTGAATTGATTAATCTCCACACCCTTTTTAGTGATTTGGTCTTTTCCGGTCTCGATCAGCTTCTCCAGCTGTTCCTTGTTCTGTACCAACTGAGGCAGCACGACTTCCACCGTTTGATCGCACAGAACACCGCCAATAAGTCGGAAGCACTTTCGACCCGGTTCTACCGTCTTCAACGTATCGATCACGGTCCTGTAAAGAGGGAAATAATATACTTTGTTGTAACATCCCAAAAATGGAATCAAAACACAATGAACCAAGTCCCAATTGAGGTTATGCCCCAGCAGAAATCAATTTCCTTCAACGAACTCCAATAGCCGAAGGGGCAAATCAACTGGATCGGAAAATTTTCCCCTTGGCTTACTTGTGTTCTTTGAGGTCCATCTCCAGCGTGTTGAGATTGTTGATTAAATTCCTCTGCTGATTTCGCAGCTGCTGAAATTCGGCATAGATTTCCTCTTGCGATTTTTTGTCCTTTGATTTTCCGCTAGCAACGCTGCTACTGCTGGACGTCACCTGCTGTGTTGTGGCCATTGTTCTTACGGGATTGGTTTCTTTCGAGGAAGATCACAGTTTGGGGGAGGCCGGAAAATTACTGACACACACTTTGCGCTGTTGAAAAACTAGGAAAATTATGAATATTTCCGCAGAGGACGAAAATCACAAGTGCACCTCTTTTGTGGTGTTTTCGGTGTGGTGATGAAAAAGCTGTCTAAACGTCAACTTTGTGCTCACTTTTGACGGTTTGCTTTACACCCTCTTTTCTGGCTCAAATCTAGGGGTTTCCATCAGTGGTGCAGCTCTAGTACTTTGAGAAGTTATCTGTTGACAACATTCCGACTCTCTTCAAATTTCTCTCATTTTTCTCCGAAAATGAGAGAGACCGCACCGCTTTTCCAGTCAGAAAAATGAACATCTGATTCACTGTCAGTGGCACGGACGAACGAACGAACGAAGACACGGCAGCAGCCTATCAAAATAATCAAAAAAAGTTGTGTGCGGCTGCCGAATTTAGTGTTCCACTCAACGAGGACAGTGATAAATTATTCACGGACGGTGGTGACCTTATCTCGCGAAGTATTGCAGTGGCCTTGTGTTGGACAGAACAGAAAATCAATCGTAAATTCGAGCAAGACGCGTCCCACCGCCCTTCGGCTCCCACCGTGCGTATTTGGTCGAAAAGTAGCGGGCACATCACTGTCCAGTTATATTTACGTGGTAACCTATTAGCGTTCCAAACTCGCCGAGCGGTCTCAAGGAAAACCGACCACGCACCATGATGCGACTGCTGGATAAAGTTCTCACTTTTATCAACTACTGGTGGTTCCGGTATCTGATGATTACGGAGCTGTACATGGTCGAGAGCTGGGAACGTGTGACGATCCGTAAGTAGTGGCAATAAGAATATGAGAACCCTTATAAGTTACACGGTTGTAAACATTAAACACAAGCCTTTCAGAAGAATGGAAATGGTCGTTCTAGGATTTTTTGCTTGTGGTTTACTGCAAAACGAAACATCGAACAGTAGCACGCCATAACGAGTGGGTTGAAAAGCCCGGCCTTTATTCATGAACTATTACCAGCTAGAGCCTTCCAAGAATATGGGAAATGAGTACATAACCAGAAACACCCTTTCCGATTTAGTTGAATCTTTTTTTTTTACTATTGAATACATTTTATTCTCATATCAAATACATTAGGATCTACCTTAATTTAGGTACCCCTGCTGCTACTAAAGCTACTAACTGCAGGATTCTTTCAATGTTTAATACCACGGTGTTAAAGTGTGGTTACAACAATGTTGTTACCTCTTAGCAGTTAACTGTCGCTGGAAGCATAATTTTCTCATAGAACGTGGGACAATTATGCGTCCACCGCCATTTAAGTACTTATGTATTAACCTACATGTTTTCCGTTATTCGGGACATAAATCCACTGTGGTCAGTAATTGATCAATTTTGGTACACTCATTTTCCTAGTTTAGTCAGGATGATTGTACGACTTTTCCCCGAAAACCAGTTCCTCGAAAGTTTTATCCCCGAAATACGATTCCCCGAATGAACCAGTTCCCCGAAAGGAACGTTTTCCCGAAAACTATTTCCCCGAAATAACTAGTTCCCCGAAAGATACAATTTACACTGTGCGATCTATTTAAATATGACCCTTGGGTTTGTTACAACTTATCTATATGAAATTGAGAAAAAATATCTTTGCTGAATATTGATAAACAGAACAAAGTCGTTCAACACCCTAGATAAAGTTTGTGGTTATGACTTGTTATGACATTTGGCGGTTTATCAAATTGATATCTGATTGTAATGAGCATAAAGACTGAGCTTTGATATAAAGAAGGGAAAATTGTGTCAGTTTCATCAAATCTTTCGCTGGTTAACTACTTGTATCGAACAATACCACAATACACATATCAATGTGTGTCGAATTAAAGTGGACTCTACACGACAGTTTGTATTGACAATAATCGTATTGTCAATGCATTTTATATTGACGTCAATACATCGGTATTGACAATATATCTGTTTCCCCATCATCAATATTATTAATATTAATATTAATATTATTAAAAGTATTGACAATATTTCTTACCGTGTGGGGTTCGCTTAAGACAATAGTTTGACTTTCGTTAAAACTACATGTAAAGGTCACACACTAAGATTATTTCACCGAAATCTGTGAAATTTTACCGAAATCTCAACAGCTGAACGTTCGGTAAACAGTTCGGTGATTTTTCACAGATTTCCTGTAATTTTTTACCGAATATTCTGAAATCGGTGTATGGTGTTTTCTTCTTGCTCCATACAATTTTGGATTCGGCCTATAAGGAGTCGCAAAGTGACTATAGCATGTATTGCATGGGGACGCATGGTATCTTTTATTTATTAGTATGGAGTTTTTTAACGTTCGTACCTATCCAACACACACACACACATACATTGTATGCAATTAGCTCCATGGAACATACCAAGTTATACGTCAAATAATCAACTAAGATAAAAAGAAGGAAAAATTCTTGCAACAAACAAAATTTTCCCTTCTTTGTATCACAGCTCGTTCTTTAACGTTGTGAAGAATAAATATCTTACTAATTTATAAAACTGATACCTAATCGTAATCAAATTAAAAAAACGAGCCGTTAGGGGCCATACATTAATTATGTCACGTGAAATGGATCATTTTAGATGGCTGAGTTTTGAACCCACCACAGCTTTCATTTGGCGCTACTGTATACGGACGAACCAATGTAAAATACTGTGGTAGCCACAGTACGGTGCTGTCAAAACCTCAGCATCTTCAATGATCCATTGAGGCAAAATTAATCAATCACAGATTTCTACACGTCCCTCCTTAGGGCGTGACATAATTTGTACATCACCCCTTATACAAAGAAGAAAAATCGTTGTTTGTTTCAAGAAATGTTCCTTCTTTGTAGCACAGCTCGTTTCTTAACGTATCGCATAATATCTACCCTAATAAAAATGTTATGGTTAATTTGCTTAACGACGTGTTCTGGGTATCATCCAAACCATTTGTGGAATAGTTCACACATTTGGGTTATCGTTCGTTTATGGTAATTTTTTATTAGGGTATCTAATTGGTTTTATCAAAGAGATATCCCGCATAAACAATAACCATAAGATGCGCCTAACCACCAATTCGGGATATCATCCCAATTTTATGTGGTATGGACGCACCATCTAAGATATCGTCAGTATATGGTACACGTTTATTAGGGATCATTTTCCTTTCTTTGTATCACGGCTCGTTCTTCAATTTTATTACAATGAGATATCGCTTTGATAAATTAGTAAGATATTTATTCTTCAAAACGTTAAAGAACGAGCTGTGATACAAAGAAGGGAAAATTTTGCTTGTCGCAAGAAATTTTCCTTCTTTGAATTATAGTTCATTCTTTGACGTATAATATGGTATGATCCATGGAGCTAATTGCATACAATGTGTGTGTTTGTTTGATAGGTACGACCGTTAAAAAAAAAAACTCCATACAAACAAAGAAAAGATATCATGCGTCCCCATGCCATACATATTAGTCACATGGCGACTCCTTATAGGGTGAATCTAAAATTGTATGGAGCACGAAGAAATCAATATGTGTTGAATAAAGACAAAAGTTTGACTTTTGTTAAAACTACATGGAAAGGCTGCTGAAATAGGATTACACCGATTTCAGGAGCTTGACCTTTACATTTTGTTTTAACGAAAGTCAAACTATTGTCTTTATTCGACGCACATTAATATGTTTATTGTGGTATTGTTCGATACAAGTAGTTAACCAGCGAAGATGCGCAGATTCGGGGAAATGGTACATTCGGGGAAATTATTTTCTGGGAACTGTGCCATTCGGGGAATTGTATTTCGGGGAAAAGTTACATTCGGGGCAATAACTTTCGGGGAAAGTGTTTTCGGGGGACTGGTTTTCGGGGAAAAGTCGTACAATCGTCAGGATGTCTACTACCTTAAAAATTGGAAATATTTACCTTTTACCTGAACAAAAAACCCTGGAATTCTCAAGGAATTTTGAATTTTCGAATAAAGCATCAACAATAGTTACAAATTAGGATTAAATATATTAAAGTACGCCAATGAAATTGTGGAGTGGATTTACCTTTAGTAACAACATACATTCTAAATTTTGAACTAGGTTCTTTAATTTTGAAAAAAAAATATCGGTTTTTACATATCATCTGAAGAGCTTCGTTTTCTGAGGACCAGAGTTGCCACATTTTTTCTAATTTAAATCTGTATTTTCATCGTAAATAATCTTTTTAATCTGTATCTGGCATACAAAAATCGGTAGAAAAATCTTTATTATGGTATTTGCGCGGGCCTAAATCTTGCTTGAGTTCATTCAAAGTTCAGAAAGAGTTGGTTCAAAGTTTAGAATCTTGAAAAGTGAAGCTTTCTGAAGAATGTCTCTTGTTAAAAGATCTTGAAATCCTAGAATCTTGATTTTCTATGTGATTTGTATCTTTTCTACAAGTCTAAAAAAATAATAAACTCAAGTCCCATTACCTAGATACAACCCTAGCATAAGATTTTGTATTACCATGGTAATACAATTTACATTACAATTTGTATTACCATCTTGCAAGATTACGAAAATCTTTATCTGGATATTTTTTCAACCCCTTGATACTTGATTCTATATACATGCCTAAATATACGCAGTATTTGTGGTCAGTAAATACCTGCAAAACCCTTTGGAATAATTCCATCTGTTCTGTATTCCACAAAGTACACCTCTGTTTGATCAATTCAAGACCAACAATTGAAATGGCCTTAACTTCATTTTGTAAACAAACGCTATTTCAAAACTACGGATTGGGTGGATTCTACCCAAATTTGGGTAGTTTTGAAATAGCGTGTAGTGCCGAGATGAGTGAAAAGAACTTACTTTTGGGTACTTTTTTTCTTACCGTGTGGGAAGCTTTCGGAGGACCAATTCAAATGTCTCGTATTCGTCTGCAGGCTGAAAGCGGAAAGCGATGCGGAGGTCAGAACAATAGTCGCTATATTTATAGTCTGGCGGATAGAATTTCGATTTATTAAAAAGCGGAACCAATTCAATATATTGTAGACCAACAATTGGGCTCTTTAATTTTGAAAAATATATCGGTTCTTATATATCTTCTGAAAGAGCTTCGTTTTCTGAGCACAGCGATATTTTTTTCGAAGCCACACACTTTCATCTCGATTTTTTAATCAAGATTTAAAGCAAAATAATAACTTGACTGTTTGACACTAAACTGACAAACTGACAGCTCGCTCCCATACAAAGTGACACCGAGGGGCGCTAATAAGGTGATTTTTGCAAATGTGATCGTACTTATACTTGTACTTATACTTTAAAATAGTTCTAGTGTACCAAAATTGATGAAATTTTGGGTTTGGGTTCCATTTTTGATGCAGATTTAGATTATGCATTTACCTCAATACCCTTGAAGAACCCAATTGAAAAGGTACTACCAACTTTCATAAACAATACGTTGATTATTCTTTTCTCGCTAATCGAACGCAAATTACCAGCATCATCGGATAGGGGAAACTTTCCCCAACCCAACGATGGTGTTAGTTTGCGTAGGCGAGCCTTGAGTTACGAGAAAAGGGTTTCCGAAGTTTTGATCGCAATTCATTGGTACAAACAACGTAAATATTTACCTTTTTTGACAAAACCCAGGTAATCATGACGTTTGATTATTGAAAACAATATGAATGAAGAAAAGATACCAACTGCTGTCATGATTACCTGAGGTTTGTCAAATATTGTAAATATTTACATCGATTGTATCGAAGAATAGCTGATGTGCTCTTTTCTGTTGTTGGTCGTGATTTGCGCGATTGGTTCCAC